TAATTGGGTTCTTCAATGAGGTTTATTTTACAGCTTACGAAGATTTATTGGATACCAAAATCTACAAGAACCTGCTTTCTATTCTTAGCAACGATTCCCATCATCCTGAGCTGCACAAAGTTGTAATGTGCTTTCTAAGAAATGTCGTTCCTAGCGAGAAGTCCTTGTTTACGCAGCTTTTGGATGCCACGACAAAGAAATGTCTGGACCTATTCTCAAAGAACTCGACCACATTGCATGATCGGAACTTGCGTATGGAATGCGTCAAATTGGCACTTAAGCTTTCTCTAAATGGTCCTTCCGATGCAAAAACGACTACAGAATGGCATCACCTTTTCGCTGTTTTGACACAAACCGTTGGATGTTTGATACAAAATTACTCGGAATTGAATAATTTTACTTTACAGAACAGGGCAATATTCAGATTGATTGTCAACACTATTGCAAATTTGTCTTCATTTGTTGCGTTTGGAGATTGGTATCTGTTCTCAGGATCTATCGTATGGATACTTTCCTTGTTAAATGACGACGAGTTGATCATACAGAAATTCGGCCTCATAATTGTTTGTAATCTTCTGCAGAAGGGCGAAGAAGCTTTTAATTTGGTTGACACGATGATACCAAGTCTTGTGGAGATGCTTGTTTCGTTTGGGACTGATATGGAAAAGGAAGAAGAAATTCGGAGTATCGCTTTCAGAATCTTGACTTGCATGATTCTTGTTAACAAAGACAGCAAGGACAGAAAGGATCAGATCATGGAAACCGTTGTGGCAAGTAGCTTCATTGAAAAGGCATTTATCGATCGGACTCTTCTTTTAGGTCAGGTAGACATGTTCTTGGAGTTTGTATTGCTACTCGTTAGCACTTTGTCAGCTGAATTGGTGGTTTCAATGGTTGATAATCTTTTTGTTGATGATAGTTACATTGAAGCTTTAGTTGACGAACTTTGCGATGCGAGCCATCCACTTCTTGTAGGTCTTTATAGGCATCAATTCTCTTTTGCAAGAATTCACAGAGCAAGACGTTTACTTTGTTCTGTAGTTTCCGGGTATTGCAAAACACACAATGATGGAAGACAGCTTATTGAATCCATAGTAAGCAATAATCCACAATTTTGTGATATGCTTCTTTACTGTGTTTTTTACGATAAGGATGATGAAATCAATGAATGCAACGGTTTCAACCAGGTTATTATGCTGACTATGTGTAATGCCCCAGAATCAATGAAAGATGCTGATCAATACGCAGATTTCGTAAAGTTGGTCTTTGCTTCTGAAGGCTTGCCGGTTTTAAAGTGTCAGCTGTTGCAAAATGACCTTGAAGGATTGATTAGTATTGTTGGAATTGATGTATCAAAGACTGCAAACTCACTAATCAAAGCCTTGAGCAAGAATAAGTCTGTATCATTTAATTCAATCCTGCTCTTTAATGTAGTTTCATTACTGGGACGACGTGGCTTAGAGTTCGATATTGATTTTGAGCTATTTATCAAGAGATTAAAGGAAGTCGGAGAATCATGTCAAGATCCTGCTATGCGCAAATTGATATCAAAGGCTCAGTTTCTTCTTATTAGCAAAGACCCTGATAATGATTACTTGGTCAAGAGTGTATTTGAGACTTTTATGGGTTCTGACAACCAACAACAAGGCATTGAAGATTTGATCATAACATGTGGCTGCAATGAAGCCCTTCTAAACTTGCTCAACACAAAACTTAAAAGAAGAATATGCGATGACTTCATTCTTGTAAATGCGCTACTTGAGGCATGCATGAACTCTGAAAACGAAAGAGAACTCAATTCACTTAATGCTTTCCTCACAAAACACCGTATTGTGGCTTCCCTTGTGTTAAAACTATCTTCAGGATTCAAAACGATGTCAACGACTCCTCTGTATCAACTGCTCTTGACCATGCTGAATGTTTCAACGTTCAGCATGAAATGTCGCTGTAATGCATCAGCTCTTAAATTTGACTTCTCTTTCAAAATATCAAAAGACTACAAATTATCTCAGCTCCTTCTTGATGTCTGGATGCGAATTCTATCTTCGAGCTCCTTACAGAATCTCAAGTGTTTATCACTGTTGCTGCGATTTATGTCACAATCTTGCTTGATATCAAAAGAGAACAAGTTAATCTTATGTGATGGCGAGCTATTCCAAATAATAGCTGAAACAATATCACGCTTAACTGGTATTGGTGAAATGGAGAATGAGATCGGCGTTCAATTGAATCAAGCCAAGGATGATTTAGTGAACCTTGTATGGGTTCTTCTGTATGATTGTCAAAGAAATATCGCTCTAGCAAGAAAACATTCTCTCTTGATGGAAAAGCTAAAGATGATATTGAATGATCACCCGAATGCGTACGTTCAAACGTCGCTCTTTGGTTGATGTTCTCTGTGATTGACATCATCTTGCTCGCTCGCTTTCTTTTTTGTGAATAAAAAAAGATGTTCAGATTGGCCTCCAGATCCACCCAGCTCGCCATTAATTCCACTATGAAGCCATTCCAGACGCAACTGCGCCTATTCAGACCATCCACAATCAAATCGAGCGCTACTACGTCACCATCAGCGGCAGAGGCAGCAAAGAACCCTGTTCATGGCTCATATCACTGGCAGTTTGAGAGATACTTATCAGTTGCACTTGTACCACTTTGCACTGTGCCTCTATTCACTGGACCATCCCGCACAGTTGACTTTTTACTAAGTAAGACTCAACCGCTTTGGCACAATTATTAAATGTCTAGCTTTTGCTTTACCAATTCATTTGCACTTGGGATTTGGTCAAATTATTACTGATTACTTGAACCCAAGGAAGATTGGATCGTTTGGTAATAAGGCTGTTGTTGGATCTTTGTACTTGGCGACTGCGCTCACAATTTACGGTCTGTTCAGATTCAACACGAACGATGTTGGAATTACGGAATTCGTAGCAAACTTATGGAACGCTAAGAAGCAGAATCAAAAAGAATCGAAATAAAATTTTTCGTTTGGACGCTGCAGTGGAATATTTTTTTAAAGTATCCTTCTGGATTCAGACTAAATTTGCCGCTCGTCAAGCTTTTTCTTTTAAAACAGACAGCGACAGCCCTAAAATGGAAACTCAAACCCAACCATCAACTGAGAACTCAAACCCTAACCCTACAGGTGAGGAGCAGCAGCAGCAGCAGCAACAGCAGCAGCCACAACTCAGCCAGGAAATCCTTCGCCTGAACACTGACGAAGTTGTCAACAGAGTCAGGCTGTTGGAGAATGAAATAAGAATATTCAAGAGTGAGTTGCAGAGATTGAAACATGAAGAACAGACGATGAAAGAGAAGATTGTGGAGAATAAGGAAAAGATTAAAGCCAACAGAACGCTGCCTTATTTGGTTTCGAATGTTGTGGAGCTGTTGGACTTGAAGCCTGAGGAAGAAGACGAAGAGGAAGACTTCGCTGCAGCCAATGAAGACGCACAACGCAAAGGCAAATGCGCCGTCATCAAAACTTCCACTCGTCAGACGGTTTTTCTGCCGCTAATTGGCCTGGTCGACAGCGACAAACTCAAGCCTGGCGATCTGATTGGTGTCAACAAGGAAAGCTACTTGGTTCTTGATACTTTGCCAGCTGAGTACGATTCCCGTGTTAAAGCGATGGAAGTTGATGAGAAGCCTACTGAAGATTACAATGATATTGGTGGTTTGGATAAACAAATTGAAGAGTTGGTTGAGGCTATTGTATTGCCAATGACACATCCAGACAAGTTCAAGAGTCTTGGTATTCGTCCTCCTAAAGGCTGTTTGATGTATGGGCCTCCTGGTACTGGTAAGACTTTGATGGCAAGGGCTTGTGCTGCTCAGACTAAGGCTGCCTTCTTGAAATTGGCTGGGCCTCAGTTGGTGCAAATGTTTATTGGTGATGGTGCAAAGATGATTAGAGATGCTTTTGCTTTGGCTAAAGAGAAGGCACCAACCATCATTTTTATTGATGAATTGGATGCAATTGGTACAAAGAGATTTGATAGTGACAAGTCTGGAGATCGTGAAGTCCAGAGAACAATGTTGGAGTTGCTTAATCAATTGGATGGATTCTCTTCTGATGATCGTATCAAAGTCATTGCTGCAACTAATCGAATTGATATTCTTGATCCTGCGCTCTTACGTTCTGGCCGTTTAGATAGGAAAATTGAGTTTCCTTTGCCTAATGAAGAAGGGCGTGCAAGAATCCTGCAGATCCACTCAAGAAAAATGACTGTTAGTCCTGATGTTAACTATGATGAATTGGCAAGATGTTGTGATGAATTCAATGCAGCTCAGTGTAAAGCTGTATGTGTTGAAGCAGGTATGATTGCATTAAGAAGAGGAGGTACCGAGTTGAGACACGAAGACTTTATGGAAGGTATTCAAGAAGTTCAGGCAAAGAAGAAGACAACATTGCAATACTATGCGTAAACTAATGGTGAAATAAAAAACATGAAAATTCTGTGTGTGGTAATTTTCGGGTTGAAGAATAGGAGCAGGGTTGAGAACGCTTTCCAGTTAAAGAGCGATAGAACTTTGTTTCAGCTTTCCTGTTCGGTCCATATTAACCTCCATTCAGATTTGTGTAGGCTACCTAAAACTCTATTATAGTACAGAACAGATTTCAACGAAGGATTCAAGGAAGTGTGTTAATTAAGATGTTTTATTAACACGTTAAAGAAATCAATTGAGCATCATTGTTTGTTGTTGTTGTTTCCATATCGATGAGATATCCCAAAAAACGGAAGGAGATCGCACGTGATAGTACAATGGAGGTGTTGGATAGTAACAATTCATCAGTGGGCCTATAGCTCAGTTGGTAGAGCATCCGCTTTGCATGCGGGAGGTCTAGGGTTCAGTTCCCTATGGGTCCATTTTTGCTTTTTGGTTTCTTTACAATTGGAGGAATGATGTAGGCTNTCGATGAGATATCCCAAAAAACGGAAGGAGATCGCACGTGATAGTACAATAGAGGTGTTGGATAATAAGAATTCATCAGTGGGCCTATAGCTCAGTTGGTAGAGCATCCGCTTTGCATGCGGGAGGTCTAGGGTTCAATTCCCTATGGGTCCATTTTTGCTTTTTGGTTTCTTTACAATTGGAGGAATGATGTAGGCTTAGCTGTATTCACTTCCGGAGGGATATTTTTTGATGAAGGTAACGCGTGGATCGAAAATGAGTTAAAAAGAAGCCCATATTTATTTTTTAAGAGGCCAAACCGTGATCGATCTTAGTCAACAGTAAGCTGCAACGCATCGGCTATTCCCCGCGCGAGAATTCCCCAATGAGACATTTGATTCGCCTTAAACCCATTCGCAGTCTGTAAAGAGTTATCCAACAAAATGTGGAAAGTTCTAATATTTAGCCCAGCGTCTCGTAAAACCAATTCTTCACCTATCATTTAAGGATGTCGGGTGTGCTTGGCGGAGTTATGGCCCTCATTTCAAATTTCTCTTCAATATTGCTTAACTGATTCTGGGTAGACTCTTGCTCTGTGAGGTACTCGTCCATGTGTGATACCAGTCGAAGTAGCGCTGCCCTGATTTTTAAACAAACACTCCGACTGTGATTGCCAGCCTCTACATCTTGTAGCACGCGAGTAATTGATGTATACTCATCGTCGATCATCATCTGGTTAACTATTAGACTCAAAACACGGTGCAAGTCTTCGAAATCTGCATCGCAATTGGCGCGTGCTTTTGTTTCCCGTTCCATATCTCGCGAGGATTCATCAGCAGCTTCTTTTCTGGTGAATAATTTCTGTAAGGTAGCGTATATGTCAACTGATAAGAGACATACTATGAATGTAATAACAAGGATTTCGATCGCAGTCATGCTTTGATTGAGATTCAAGAATGTCTCGACGGCCGCCGTGTCAACCTTTTGCTTGCGCAATTCAAGATTGTTTAGAAAGAAACGATTATCAACAAAATAAATGCGCAAAAGAGATTGAGGCCCTACGGAAATGTTGTTTTGAGCTCTTTGAAAGCGGCAAAGAGAGCGTTTCATGCAGCAAGAAGTGGCGCAAAGAGTTCGAAGAATTTAAAAAGAATAAATATAATTCATCTTAAAGCATAACTACAAATTGATGGTCATTGTTGCATGTTCGTGTTTCTTTGAGGAGAACTCAATAACAGGAACAGATATCAATTCCTTAAGAATGGCAATTTCATCCTTAGTCGCTTCTGTTACAAGTAACAATTTGATGGAGTTCTTAAAGAACAATAATCTTGCCATTTGTAGCAAATTTAAATGTTCTTCTTTGACTTCATCCCTTAATGTTAGATTGCTCTGATGTAGCGCATGTTTGAGGCCAGACTTGGTTGCACATTCTTCGGCGTATCTTGAACCATAGAAACCCAAAAGCTTCGTATTGAATGTTATGTTCTGCAAGTACGAAACACCTTCCATAATGATCGGATTATGATTAAAGACATACACAGAGTTCAAGTACAAACGACTGTTAAGTTTGTTAATGTTGACATAGTTCTGTGAACGTCCCATGTTAATCAGTATGCATCCTGACAAGTATGAATCAGGATTAACTATTCCAAGTTGAAACATGTACAAATCATGAAGAATAGACTGATCTTCGCTGTGAAACAAAAGCCACTCATCATTCGAAACCATCATGTCAATAACAGCGTTCCCAATCTCAACGTTCTCCCATTTTAACGACACATTATCGTTAAACTCCTGAAGAAAGAACTCTTTAGTCAACATGTATTCAGTAGTAGCTTTTGAATGATCACTTAAACTATTCTTCTTTCTTTCTGTATGATCCAACATTAAAAGAAAGCTGTGCTCAAGTAATTCTCTCATATCAAACTCACTCCAGTACTTCACCAATCTGGTCATGTTTAGAATTGCAAATGCAATTGAAGAATAAACCAGTAAAATGAACTTCAAGTTCCCAGAAAACCACACTTCGTTTACGAATACTGTTATACCCAACTGGAAAACAAACGGCAATGTGCCATTAATTGCCAAACACATGCCATGTATCAGAACAGCTTTCATTTGATCATCAAGGTAGGACTTTAAATAACACTCGACATTCAGGGCATTATGTTCCATAACGGAGGAACAGCATACGAATTCTCTTACATAATCATAGAATGTTTCTGTGGTTGAAATGTTAATCGCGGGCGAAATAGATTTAATCGCATACGCCACCATTAGTAGAAACAAAAACAAGGCTGTCATGAAGCCAGATAGTACGTAAGAATAACTGAAACCTATTACAATCGCTGTTAGAAACCCACAGAATACTTGCAGACTTGAGCCAAACAGCAATACAAATGATGATAAGACTGAAACATGTGTTAGCTGTTGCATTCTTGATAATGAATCTGAGTTTGAAGGAGAACTTTTGTCTTGATAAGTATGATCAACAGTATGTTCTTTTGACATTCTTATTTCCATTTCAACCTTATTGCCAACCAAATGAAATAGCATTGTATAAATTATGCTTCCAACCAAGGACAAACCCGTTATAGCAATGAAAACATAAATGAAAGGTCCAGATGAACCAGCATTTGAGACCACCAGCAGTTCAAACAAATTGGCAAACACTATAGTAAAGCTAGCGGATGCAAATCCTGTCAACAACGCAAAGAATCCTGCGATTAAGAAAATCCCTTTATCGTTTCTGAACAATAAGTTAGCAACCTTCAGCGCTTTACAGAACAATCCAAATGCTGTACTCGTGGCGTCTTTATCTTTTGTTGTATGAGCTTCGCTTTCCTTTGACAATTTCCAATCGTTTCCACCAGACTCGACAATAAGCACAATTGAGAAATGATTCTGTAGATCTTGCAACATGTAAGACAGCTTTTCATCGACAAATATTTCCCTGATCTTAATAACAAAAATTCTTAAATCCGGGTTCGTTAGAATTCCTCTTGCTATACACAACTTTGTTCTTTCAACAATTGTTAGTTGATCATAGTGGAAACATTCTTTGTCCAGACTTCCAATGATAGCCTTCTCATGTTCAAATTTAAGAAGCTCAAGAGCGAAAAGCAGAGGAACTGAACCAATAGTATTCTGCACGTGATTCTCGTTTGGGCTTTCAGAGCCAGACAGTTCATTATGAAGATACAGATTATTTCTTAATGTAAGCCATTGAAATAAGGTCTTGTCTTCGTCAACAAGATAAATGGCTTTCTTTATGGACTTTCTGTTGAATAGCTCTTTTGCAACTCCATCATAGTATATGCTCATTTCATTCTTGCGACCGATTAACTCATTTATGATTTCTTTGGAATGAGACGTATTATCTGATCGTATAATCTTTAGCCTTGAATTGATGTCCGAAATATGAGACAAATCAAAGGATATATCATCAAGGGAGCCTGTGCTTATTCTTGAAGGCCCGAACCATATATCCCCGTTTTTGATAGAGAAACCATTCTTTGCTCTGTTTCTTTGAGGTTTGAGGCCTTGAAAGTTGATACTCAACTCGACACAACTGTCATCCAAATCCTGAAGAGAAAGATCACTGTTAGATCTTGAAAACATGTAACTTAGCCTAGCCACTTTGTCTCCGTTGTACTTTACGCCTGAGCAAGGTTTAATATCAGAAAGAAAGACTTGCAATTCTTTCGACGCCAACTTCAACTGCACAAAGTGGTCCCTGCTTAATACTTCTTGCAGTGAGTACGTACATAAAAGAATTGAAAGAATCGCCTCAACTATTTGCCCAACAGTTTGTAATGATGTATTGCTATCAGTTGAAACAAGACCATACCAGAATATAACCAAGTACACACCATACATGGAGAAATGCGTGAAAGATATAACACAAGAAAGCAATATAGCCTTTTTGAGTTCCAGCTGCTTCGCTTTAACAAGAGTACTCTTTACTTTCGACTCCAGATATTGTGTGTATTCTTTGTAGAAAGGGCCAACTAAACGCGTTTCGTTGTACCTGCGTTCATTTTCTCTCAGAAATAGCCTTGAAGATACATAAACATTTTGTACATCATTTTGCATGGAGTTAACATATCTCATGATCAAGAGCGACAGGACATACAGCGAAGGTATTAGCACAATCAGTATCAGAGTGAACCGATAACCCTCCAACAGAGAAAGGACGATCCCACATAGCAGCCAAACAATAAGCTTAGTTTTGCCTTTTAGTACAAGCGGCAACTTTGTGCGAACTGTTTCAAGAGGTTGTCTCAAACGCTTTGCCAAGTAACATTCATCAAACTCGAGCTTAGAACCATTTCCATAAGATGCATTACTCTCATGATAATCAGGGCCAATCTTAATTAAACCATCAATAATTGCCTGTTGTATTTTATGAACGACTCGCTCTGTTGTAACTCTAGCGATTAGAGTTGAAACAAGCTCCGAGCACAACTGCAAGCCGATCACCGCGAGAGCGTAACAGAACAAACGCAAAGACTGCGCCGAACCTCTCAACATTGACGTGCACATCAATCCGTTATTTTGCCCTTTAATTTCACATTCTGACATCAACAGAATCCATTCCTTCATTAGCACGCTAAATGTTAAAAGTCAGTTGAAACACGAAGATATCTTTTCGCATACATGGAAACTGGCATTGCAACAGACGCGACAGCTGCTGAAACAACAGAGGACGCTGCAATTACATAATGTTTTCTTAAGAGGAATAGAATGCCTTTGAGGTACGTCAATTCTTGTTTCAACTTGGCTCGCGCTCGCTGAAACATTTCAAACAGAAATAGATTTAATAGCTTTATTGTCTACTCGTGGTTCAATAGGACCCGTCTTACAACGTATTGATCGTCCCTTACTTTCTTTACAAAGTCGTCATAAAGCCTAACGATGTAGCCTGAAAATGCATACGATGACAGAAGAAGCAGAACCAGCATGTTATAAAGCAATTCAAGCCAAGAAGCTTCCAATATGCGACCAATTGCAGAGTGATTAATGTATGTGAAATACCGAATGACTGCAAAGCTATGAACGATAAGGAACGTTCCAAATATAATCCTCGCTGTGGTATTTAAAACATCACTCAAGCGAATTCCACCAAGTTCGAGCTTCATCAATTCGTCATAGTTTCTCATCACTTTGTC